TGGCATCATTGGAGGTGTATGCATGTGTAAGTCGTAGGGCTACGTTTGTGGCTGTTTGCTTGTTGTGTTGTTGATGAGCAGTGCGGACATGTGTTGTAAGGTGCGCAGTTATGAAAGGTTTCTCCACAGGTTGCCCAGGTAAAGTTCATTCGCAGCTCGCTTGTTGTGGGCTTTCAGGTGACGATTGAGAGCAGATTTGTCCGAACACGCCTTATAACAGCGGGTGCATTCGAATGGTTTCTCTCCGTGTGAATGCTGCTATGTGTATTTAAGTTGTCTGAGCGGTCAAAAGTCTTGCCGGAGATGTCGCAATGATATTCTGTGCCTGCTTTTTCTCTTTTTATTCCACTCTTGGAGCACTGAACCTGTTGACTGCATGTTGCTTCCACATGGTGTTTCAACTGAAATATGTGGGGGGTGTACTAGCAACTTGCACCAAACGGCATGATTAAGAATTCATAAAGACCATTATGTGTAGCAAAAGAAGTCTTTTTTTGAGTTAGGATACATTTCTATTTGCCAAAAACCACTTTTGAGATCCATCAAGGTGGAAAATACACTTGTGTTAGCTAAAGAGTCTGGGGCATCAGCGTCGAAAGGCATTGGAAAGCTACCTACTTTAGTGACTTTATTAACTTTACGAAAATCAATACAAAATTTATGTGATCCATCCTTCTTGTTTACCATAGCAACTGGAGAGCTCCAAGGAGAGACAGACTCGAGTTATTCCTTTTTCACGAATTTCGTCCACCCAACGGTTGATTTATGGGAAATTACAGTCCACATATTAAATTCGTCCCCCCAATTTGTTTGATATCCTCCTGGATCAGTGGCGTTCTTAATGAAAAAACGACAACGTAAATATTCTGGTTTGACACACATTCTATATTATCTCATCAATGTAATAGATCGATCCATGGAAACATCTAAATCGTTTAGGGTTATTAAAATGGAACCAAGGTACATTACAACGATTTCAAATCTGGTTGACAAATAAAGACCCAGAGCTGATTTCTTCCTGCTAATTGAAGCCATATGTACACGGTAGATTGGCATATCACTCATTTATATTTAGATTATGTACATTCTCCAAACCTGTTGCAATGCAGATGTCTCCTAGACATTTTCCTTTCTTATCAATTCTTTCGATGCCATAGCTTAACTCCCACATAGTTTTACGGGTGGTGTGTGAGATGTCCCTGTGAATTTCTAATGGAGGTAGAGGTTCCATTAAAGAAAGGTCATCGAGGGTCTTCAACATCACGATGGCACAGGGAATGTCGTTAGTTTTTTCAAATGCAACAACCGCCTCTGCATGGAATGATTTGGAAAGTTTGTTCTTATCCGTATTGACGTCCAGATGATGTTTTGAAGCTTTGCTTGGATCTAGCATTGATTGCAAAGATTTAAGCTGGCATCATTCCGAAGTAACTGTCCATCTGGATAAATCTGAGGGAGAAAAAAATAGAATAGAATGGTAAATTCAGACAAACTCCAGGCGGTTCTTGTGTTGTGTTAACCAAGTGCAAAGCAAATACGTGGAGCTGATTTAGTGAGTTACTGGATATAGAAGGAAAACTTTTATTTACTTAAGGTTTTTTCTTGGTTGATTGTCAAATGGGTTTTGCTCACTTAAGATGTTTATCATCTTCCTGGCATCATTGGAGGTGTATGCATGTGTAAGTCGTAGGGCTACGTTTGTGGCTGTTTGCTTCTTGTGTTGTTGATGAGCAGTGCGGACATGTGTTGTAAGGTGCGCAGTTATGAAAGGTTTCTCCACAGGTTGCCCAGGTAAAGTTCATTCGGCAGCTTGCTTGTCGTGGGCTTTCAGGTGACGATTGAGAGCAGATTTGTCCGAACACGTCTTATAACAGCGGGTGCATTCGAATGGTTTCTCTCCGGTGTGAATGCTGCTATGTGTATTTAAGTTGTCTGAGCGGTCAAAAGTCTTGCCGCAGATGTCGCAATGATATTCTGTGCCTGCTTTTTCTCTTTTTATTCCACTCTTGGAGCACTGAACCTGTTGACTGCATGTTGCTTTCACATGGTGTTTCAACTGAAATATGTGGGGGGTGTACTAGCAACTCTCACCAAACGGCATGATTAAGAATTCATAAAGACCATTATGTGTAGCAAAAGAAGTCTTTTTTTGAGTTAGGATACATTTCTATTTGCCAAAAACCACTTTTGAGATCCATCCAAGGTGGAAAATACACTTGTGTTAGCTAAAGAGTCTGGGGCATCAGCGTCGAAAGGCATTGGAAAGCTACCTACTTTAGTGACTTTATTAACTTTACGAAAATCAATACAAAATTTATGTGATCCATCCTTCTTGTTTACCATAGCAACTGGAGAGCTCCAAGGAGAGAGAGACTCGAGTTATTCCTTTTTCACGAATTTCGTCCACCCAACGGTTGATTTATGGGAAATTACAGTCCACATATTAAATTCGTCCCCCCCAATTTGTTTGATATCCTCCTGGATCAGTGGCGTTCTTAATGAAAAAAACGACAACGTAAATATTCTGGTTTGACACACATTCTATATTATCTCATCAATGTAATAGATCGATCCATGGAAACATCTAAATCGTTTAGGGTTATTAAAATGGAACCAAGGTACATTACAACGATTTCAAATCTGGTTGACAAATAAAGACCCAGAGCTGATTTCTTCCTGCTAATTGAAGCCATATGTACATGGTAGATTGGCATATCAGTCATTTATATTTAGATTATGTACATTCTCCAAACCTGTTGCAATGCAGATGTCTCCTAGACATTTTCCTTTCTTATCAATTCTTTCGATGCCATAACTTAACTCCCACATAGTTTTACGGGTGGTGTGTGAGATGTCCCTGTGAATTTCTAATGGAGGTAGAGGTTCCATTAAAGAAAGGTCATCGAGGGTCTTCAACATCACGATGGCACAGGGAATATCGTTAGTTTTTTCAAATGCAACAACCGCCTCTGCATGGAATGATTTGGAAAGTTTGTTCTTATCCGTATTGACGTCCAGATGATGTTTTGAAGCTTTGCTTGGATCTAGCATTGATTGCAAAGATTTAAGCTGGCATCATTCCGAAGTAACTGTCCATCTGGATAAATCTGAGGGAGAAAAAAATAGAATAGAATGGTAAATTCAGACAAACTCCAGGCGGTTCTTGTGTTGTGTTAACCAAGTGCAAAGCAAATACGTGGAGCTGATTTAGTGAGTTACTGGATATAGAAGGAAAACTTTTATTTACTTAAGGTTTTTTCTTGGTTGATTGTCAAATGGGTTTTGCTCACTTAAGATGTTTATCATCTTCCTGGCATCATTGGAGGTGTATGCATGTTTAAGTCGTAGGGCTACGTTTGTGGCTGTTTGCTTGTTGTGTTGTTGATGAGCAGTGCGGACATGTGTTGTAAGGTGCGCAGTTATGAAAGGTTTCTCCACAGGTTGCCCAGGTAAAGTTCATTCGGCAGCTCGCTTGTTGTGGGCTTTCAGGTGACGATTGAGAGCAGATTTGTCCGAACACGTCTTATAACAGCGGGTGCATTCGAATGGTTTCTCTCCGGTGTGAACGCTGCTATGTGTATTTAAGTTATCTGAGCGGTCAAAAGTCTTGCCGCAGATGTCGCAATGATATTCTGTGCCTGCTTTTTCTCTTTTTATTCCACTCTTGGAGCACTGAACCTGTTGACTGCATGTTGCTTTCACATGGTGTTTCAACTGAAATATGTGGGGGGTGTACTAGCAACTTGCACCAAACGGCATGATTAAGAATTCATAAAGACCATTATGTGTAGCAAAAGAAGTCTTTTTTTGAGTTAGGATACATTTCTATTTGCCAAAAACCACTTTTGAGATCCATCCAAGGTGGAAAATACACTTGTCTTAGCTAAAGAGTCTGGGGCATCAGCGTCGAAAGGCATTGGAAAGCTACCTACTTTAGTGACTTTATTAACTTTACGAAAATCAATAGAAAATTTATGTGATCCATCCTTCTTGTTTACCATAGCAACTGGAGAGCTCCAAGGAGAGACAGACTCGAGTTATTCCTTTTTCACGAATTTCGTCCACCCAACGGTTGATTTATGGGAAATTACAGTCCACATATTAAATTCGTCCCCCCCAATTTGTTTGATATCCTCTTGGATCAGTGGCGTTCTTAATGAAAAAAACGACAACGTAAATATTCTGGTTTGACACACATTCTATATTATCTCATCAATGTAATAGATCGATCCATGGAAACATCTAAATCGTTTAGGGTTATTAAAATGGAACCAAGGTACATTACAACGATTTCAAATCTGGTTGACAAATAAAGACCCAGAGCTGATTTCTTCCTGCTAATTGAAGCCATATGTACACGGTAGATTGGCATATCACTCATTTATATTTAGATTATGTACATTCTCCAAACCTGTTGCAATGCAGATGTCTCCTAGACATTTTCCTTTCTTATCAATTCTTTCGATGCCATAACTTAACTCCCACATAGTTTTACGGGTGGTGTGTGAGATGTCCCTGTGAATTTCTAATGGAGGTATAGGTTCCATTAAAGAAAGGCCATCGGGGGTCTTCAACATCACGATGGCACAGGGAATATCGTTAGTTTTTTCAAATGCGTCAACCGCCTCTGCATGGAATGATTTGGAAAGTTTGTTCTTATCCGTATTGACGTCCAGATGATGGTTTGAAGCTTCGCTTGGATGTAGCATTGATTGCAAAGATTTAAGCTGGCATCATTCCGAAGTGACTATCCATCTGGAGAAATCTGAGGGAGAAAAAAATAGAATAGAATGGTAAATTCAGACAAACTCCAGGCGGTTCTTGTGTTGTGTTAACCAAGTGCAAAGCAAATACGTGGAGCTGATTTAGTGAGTTATTGGATATAGAAGGAAAACTTTTATTTACTTTAGATTTTTTCTTGGTTGATTGTCAAATGGGTTTTGCTCACTTATGATGTTTATCATCTTCCTGGCATCATTGGAGGTGTATGCATGTGTAAGTCGTAGGGCTACGTTTGTGGCTGTTTGCTTATTTTTTTAGCTACCCTACAGTCTGATAGTTGTTGTTTAACTTGCCATTGTGCATACTTGGTATTTCTTGTATGATCGCATGGTTGAGGCATGCTCTTTACTTGGTTCATCACCATCACAGAAGTGGACAAAGAGCTCCCATGCCTCTTGCAAGGTCTGATAGAAACGTGGAACTGTGTTTGTTTGAGGAAATTTCCCACGTCTCTTCTCTTCTTCGATTTTTTTCGCTTTCCGACGGCCAGAGAGATCTCCTATGCACAGTCTTGTCTAGCACTTTCTTTCACTTTAGTATAGACCCCTCCCTTGGCCTCATGAGCTTCCTCGCGATTTTCCTCTTCTGCACTTTCTTGTCTTCCTCCTCTATCTGACTTTCACTGTTGCTATCACTTTCTGGGACGAAGTTCTCTACCTTAAAATCTTCCATTAGTCCAAACGGATTAACTTGGTAAGAGAAGGTTTCAAACTTAGGAAGACCATCCATTAAAAGCAGAGCTTAAACTTTTATTCCTCATGCAAAAATCAAACGAGTAACGACCGAATCTGGTCAAGCTGTCAATCATCTTGCACAAACCCTATTTGCTGAAATAGACAATAAAACTGGTTTTTAACCTGTTCGAAATCTGTTGGACGATGTCTCAGCTGCTCAGACATCCTTCCTAACTTTGCAGTGGATTTGGACTGAAATTGAAGACAACTTGAATGATAGTGCTGAATATGCAGATTCGGACTAAAACTCAGAGGTGATCTCATAAATATGACATTCAAACCACGAGTCCGTCAGTTTCAGCTATTTTACAGTTAACAATGAGGCACTGGCATGCTCTCCATTATCCTCTAGAAGGAGATTACTTGACCCACTCAGGTCAGGTATGGGGCTTGCATTTGCCCCTTAAAGATGATGAAGGGCGTCATTCCCTCGTTGTTCTAGGCAACTTTCTTGGCATCATCACCATTCTCTGAGGCAAAATAAGCGAAAATAACACTTTCACTAAATATGTTTTATCAACTGCAGCATAATAAATGACAAAAAATGGACAGTATGGAAAGTTTTGTGTGTTCACCTAATTAAACAGCACTAAAACGATCCAGGTTGCAGCGGTGGCTTTGTTGGATACCGATGTTTGTTTGGCTTTTGAGGCTTGTCTGTGTGGTGTGGTAGTGGGGTTGGCTTTGCTGGATACTGATGTTTGTTTGGCAGCAGGGACTTGGCTGTTTGGCAAGGTAGTAGGGTTGGCTTTGTTGAAGGCTGCTGTTTGTTTGGCAGCAAAGGCTTGGCTCTTTGGCGAGGTAGCAGGGGTGGCTTTGTTGGATACTGACATTTGATTGGTCATAGAGACTGTGTGGAGTACTTGTTGTGCTCATTTGACTTGATGCTGCTGTGGTTCTTTTGAGGGATTCTTTCCTTATTTGAGTACAAGGGATGTACATTGAAAGTGCTTTTCTCTTGCTATGACGAGAATACCTGAAATTAACCATGTTACGATGAGGAAAGTCAACTGGCAGACCTACAGAAATGTGCTGTGCCCGTTTGGCTACAAATACTCCACAGTCATCACTGTTCAGCTGCTTTGGTATGTTAGAGGAGGGAATTGCAAAATATTTCCAGTCATGCATGTCCCAGTTTCTTCCCATAATAGAAGCTGAGGGGATAAAAAATGCCATTTTGCACCTGCACCATTATATAGGGAGTCAGAGTACATCGACATCTTCTCTTTCATGCTCACAACAACCAGACACTGGTGCCTACTGTATTTAAATGGTACGAGAATGACTTCTGAATCCTAGATGTTGGAATACAATTGGTGAAAGTTAAATCTTTTGAACGTTTCCTTCGAAGATGTAATCATTCTTGGAAGAAGTCTGAGTCAAGGGTTCTGACCTTTTTGCTGACAGCTATGGCCTCCTCTATAGGTAAGAAGATCTTATTAAGGACAAAGTTGTTCTCTTCTTTTCTTGTCCTGGCAAAGGTCTACATAGATCTTGCTCTTGCCAACCTCTTTTTCCTAGTCGCATACTGACATGCACTGTAGTCCAGGGCTTCCTTTTGCTGTTTTACAAACTGCTGCAGCTCGCACGTCAAAACATGGTTCTGTGATGTAAATGGATGGTGGAGTGGCTTGCTAGATTTGGATATTTTCCTTGCAAGGATTTTGCTTGCTGTCAGTTGCTGATTGAAAAGAACTCAGTCTTAAACCCTTGAACCCTTGAACCCTTACTTCAGGGTCATCAGAAGCATCGGCCGTTTCATAGAATAAGAGATATGCTTGTTGGCTAGCGGCCTCAAATGCAGTGCATTCTTTGATACAAGCATCATCAGCACAATACCACAACCCATTCCTTTTCATGAAGCACACACAGTGACCTGAAGGTAGATTATTTCTGATGTGCACTACAACAGCAACAAGTCTGTAAGCCACTAAAGCACTTCCTGTTAACCCTAACTTATCTGCTGCATTGATTTCAGTTAGTGTGAGGGTTTCATCATACTTCACTGTTTGCTTGATCTTAACACGGCTGGAATTGAAACGCAGCAGTTGGAGACAGATGGTTTTCGGTACTTTGTTGTTGTTCCCCTTTTTGATACCTGAAGTTAATGTTGGGAAGCATGCTCATGAGAGTAGCTGGATAAAGTAAACCAGGAGCAGCCTCGTATGCAGTGATGAAGAATTTAGTACTACATGCAATGCAAGGTTTTCTTGTGGAATATCAGTTAGAGCAGAAAAGAATACTTTGGATTGCTGGGGAAGATAAATACAAGTTATTTTGACTAGGAAGTCTTTTGTGTGCTGACCACTTGTACTTAATTGGAATACTTCAGAGGGGTGGGGGAGTTACATGGTGTTTTGCTCTGTTTTACCAATGAAGTGGACAACGTTTTCATTGATTTAATGGTACTTTTATTTCATGTGTAAATTATTGTTTTAAATACAAACAAATATATTTATACACGAGGAACTTGTGCCACCCTTCAAAGTGTATATGATATATTTTCAGTATTTCCTCCAGTTTCTGCCAATCTTAAGGTTTTGATAAGGTTCTTTGTTGCACTTCAAAATTACAGTCAATAATATTATTATAGCAAAAATGTTTTAAGGTCATCAATGCTAACTCTAATTTTGGGCTTTAATAATTCCTTCAAATATGTGAACTTTGATACAGGTGCCAAATCTGCGGAATTAACTTCCATTGGCAACCAAGCTTGGTACATTCCGTTGAGCCTGGTTATCTTTAGCTTAGGTAATTTTGCCCCCTCTGCTTTCTGGGTCTTAATTACTTCTGCGGTCTTCTTCTCATTGTCAAGCTTCAATTCCAGCTGGGTTCGCGAGGTCCAACTGTTCTTTCCTTTTCTTGTGCAGAGAAACTTCTTCAACTTCTTCCCTTGCCATACTAGCTTCTTTCTTAATTTTGTTCTGTAAGAAAGTGATACTCACTTTTGTAATTTCAATCACTTTAATCCTCAAAACCGGTACAAATCTTAATTGTCACAATTTGGCTCTTGAATTCTTGCTTACAATCAACCAAAACCTAACGTAAAGACATGCTGAACAAGCGCATTTTAAAAACTAGTCAGGTGATATATATTTATCACGCCATAAAAGCAGTAACAAAATGTTCATGTTATTTTGCAAGTAAGTGACTTCAGTAAGGTACTGACAAGTCTTGCTAAGATCAGTGCACCAAGCAGTTCTAACCTTGGTATTGTCTGCTGTTTGATGGGTGCCACTCTCGTCTTTGAAGAAAGCACACGCCGGGTCAGCTGTCGGCATTTTTTAGTCATGCCAATGTCACCAAAAATGGCGGCCTGGCCGTTGTTATTTTTGGTGAACCTGGGAACTAGTTTACGGCAGTATAAATAGCGCTCGATTTGCAATTTTTGTTCTTCTGAACCCAGAGTCGAGAACTGCAATCTTGGAAACCTCAAACCTTTGGTAAGAATCGTATGTGTTTTGTTTTGGTGATTTCACTTTAGTTTTACAGAAATAATGCTTTCATTTATGGGTGTTTTGTATCAGATGCTCCTACCGGGAAGCTGGCTTAAAACATAAACTTCAGCAAACTTAAGCTTGAAGCTTGAAGACTCAGGATATTTAGGGACACTTTAATACTTGTCTTCCTGAATGAAAATTGTTGTCTCTGTTTATGTTTCACCGAATTATATTTCTTTTATTGATTGTTGGTAGTCTCTCTTGCAATTTTAATTGCTATGCCGATTGTTTTCAGTCGTTCAGTGAACATCGCTTGCAGGAGTTCTCAAAATGCTCCGCCTTAAACCATCAAATAAAAAATAAACATGATAAATTCTTTATTATCTTGGAGCGTAACTCTGTTAATGTTCATTCAAACACTCGCTACAGCTCGCACTACAAAAGTGAGGACCGGATGGCCGTATAGGTGATTTTGGAAAATTTTTTTAACAGTTTATGAATATTGAATGAGAGCAATTTGTATTGTGAAATACTGCTTTCTGTCCGTGGTATAAAAGGTTGGTTTACACGCACCCAGATTTGTTGGCAAGATTTTCCAAAGTAAACTTGTCGAACGCCAAAACGTTGGCCTGATTTTTTTTCTAAGCCTAATTGATCTACGGTGATCAATAGCCATTACGGCTCTTAAATGTGATAAAAGATGATTACCAGTTTTTGAGTGTACATATGAGGCTATCAACTCGATGTAAGATTTGGTTCACTCTTGGGCTGTTTGCAAATTATTTTTCTCTAAAATCAGGTAGCCTTTCCCTCAAAAGTCACATAAATGTGCTCTAAAGTTAACTGAATTGTGGAATTCGAATACAAGTTTATTGTTTAATTTAGATTATAAATTTACTAATGGGAGCCTCGCTTTTAGCCCTGGCTAAATATATATTACATATTTACATTCATAAACACAGAATCTTTTTAGCTCTTTGATTTTGACAACAGTGTTTTAAAGACGTTAGTATTTCTCCAAAATTATAATAACACATTTAAGCAAGTGCAATTGTACATGTAGAGACTATGGTTTTGAAATGAATGGGTACAAGGTTTTAAAAACAATGGAATGCTTTTTGCCCGCTTGCTGTGATATTATAAGGGTGACCACAAATAAGATATGGGATGGCATAATCTTTGATAATCAGCCTGGTCATAATTGCATCTCCTGTTTAAACCTCCCATTAAACAATCGAAATAAAAAAATCAGATCAATCAAAACAGATTTAAAAGCAACATGCTACAAATATAACTTGAAAAATATTTTTGGGGAAGGTTGACCCCAGCATGACTCAACCTCTTACTTATACTTAGGTGTAAGCCAATATAATATTTTTCAGAAAAAAGAACTTGGAGAATGTCTCTCAGCTGTGAGTCAAGAAATGATTGTTCACACCTCTTAAGGTGAAATAAAGATAGATTTGCTGGGCTCGAGAGAACTCGCAACATTTTAATGCGAATAAAATCAATAGTATTGAAAGATGGTTTTTATGAAAATCGAGAAGATAGCTTTGTAAGGAGCTCAAATGTTTGACTAGTTGTAGTAAGAAGCACAACGTTTAACAGACTATTTATTTCACCAATTATCATCTTTGGGCCTTATTCTTTTCTGAAGCCACCCTTCTTGGTGTAGGAAGGTTTTACTTAAATTTATTTTAAGCTTACAGAAAACGAAACACCGGTGGTGAATAGGCTTTCACGTCGCCGTTACATGGGGATAAAAAAAAAACATACACCAAAGCAACTAATAAACGGCTGAAATATGAAGTTTTAGGGAATAGTAGTTACAATGAACCGCAAAAGAGGGTCAAAAGATTCTACAAAACCAAGCACAATGAAAAGACTTTCCGATTATTATGCGAGTGGTTAATGATAATGATTGTCAATGAAGATTTGTCTAAAAATTCCCCACTCTTTAAAAAATAGCATCTAGTCGAAACGTGGTTATTTCGAAAACGGAGAAGATGCCTCTGTAAGGAGCTTGGACGTGCGGGTAGTTGTCGTAAAACGAGAAAGGACGTTCATAGGTGTTTTTAAGGATACAAATGAATACACAATTTTTTTTCATAGATACTGATATTTATTTTTTCAGTGATTGTCTTCTTCTCTTAATCAACTTTCACCTTCCTGCAACAACAATAACAAATCCGTTATCAATCTTTCTGCTGTATGAAAGTTAAAAAGACGTTTTACCGATCGAAGTAATCAAGTACAAGTGGAACCTCGATTTACGATTTAATTTATGTATGAAATCGAGACTGCAGGAAATACCAAGGCTAGCTGGCCTGAAAATACACCTGCACTGCAGGCTAGGTTCACAACAAGCCATTTCCCCTCTGTTAAAAATTTAAGCTAAATCCCTGTATCATACCAAATAATGGGTAACATTTGCATAAACAATTAAGTATTACCTTTGAATGTTAAGTTGACATTGCTGCTTAAAGCAGAAACTATGCTTCTCTGCTTTTGGTTGCAAGAACAAGCATAGATCCATTGGCAGCATTCCTCATCTTCTTCTTGATCCTCCTCCTCAGGTATTTTAACGTGTACCACTTTTCGTTCTATATACACAAAGCGAGTGTCCTGCGAGACAAAAAAGGTGATCTTAACTTTTTTATAGGCAAATAATTTTGGAAATAAAAATGTCAGCTGCCAATTTACCAAGTTTCCAACATGACGGTCATTGATCAGTCAAGTTCCAGATGACGGCATATTAAAAATCAGAATACCTGTTTACAAGCGACCACTAAAATCATGTGCTATGTGCTGACCAAAAAGGTGATATAGAACAAACCTCTCAACAGTCAGTGTTCTAGTCAATAGGAGCATGCAAGTATCTGATACAAAGGGGGTGCCGTAGAACGTTGGTACCAAAGCTTAATGCACGGGCTCTCCCCTTTTCCCTTTTCCTTGCAATTTTTTTATCCTTTCCCCAAACAGAGAGCTCACTCACAGGCTTAAGTAAAACAGTCATTTCTTATTTTAATAACAGTGAAATCCAAACTTTGGATACAGTCACTTCAAATGTTCTTTGCCCAGAAGAGGTCTCTGTAATTATTACACTTGTTGCTAATACATGTAGATCTACCGTAGAGCTGCTTTCTCTGGACCAGTGCACCACTTGAATTCACTGCTTTGGACAATTTTGATTGTTTTCAATCCTGAGGATGTAAATAACTCTAAGGAACTGTCTTCTGCTGAAAAGTGTCAATAAACCCTCATTTCTTGTGTACATGTAGTACACTGTATTTAGTTTTAGTTTTACCAGCTTTTCTGGACACAGGCCTCTCCAGAGGGAATGGGCATGAACAAAGGCCAAAGGTCAAAGGTCCTGTTGGTTTTTAAGAATCACTCCCATAACATTATTTCTATGGCAATTATTATAGCTTTTGTTTAACAAGTTATATTTATTTTTTTAGCTTTTGTTGTTCTTTAAAATAAACCTAGGCTTTCAGTTATTTACTTTAGTTAAACCCCAGCCTGACTCCTCCAAAACATCTTAAAAAAAATACTCACCCAAAGTACTTTTCTTCTTAAATTACAATCTCTCATGTATATTTTCGTGGCATTTTTGTCATGGACAATTATGGCATTCTTCTCTAGGTTTAAAGCCAAATGATAAAGTGCTTCAGATTCCTCAGCAAGGACACCCGAAACCTTAAAAAAATGAAAACGTTTTTTTTCAGCATTCAAATGATACATACAGGTGTAATGTCAGTGTGTAGGCTACATATATGTACTCTTATTACAGTGCATGGAACCTTTCTTTTCCTGTTTTTACTCTCATCTATTGTATAGAATATGTGTGAAGATCGTTGATCATGAATTGGTATATTTCAAAGAGCTACACAAAGACCAAGAATACTATTGACAGACAATATTCAGAGCTGGTGGAGCTTTAGTGTCAACTATTACTATCACTAGTAAATATTTCTTATTTGAGGGAGGTGGTTAATATAGGGTGGCTTTTATTTGAGGAAATAAGGTATTTTGTATCATCTTAAAACAGAACACTTTCCACTTTAAGGTTAAATCCAGAGAGCTAAACTCTTAAGGTTTCCATATTTGTATTTCAATGTATGGTTCTGCTTAGAAATACTTGCCTATAAACTTATGAATTACTCAACTCTTTCAGCAATTTTTAATCAGATCTTAAGTGACATTTTTATAACCACAAGTATTTGTTATTTTTGAATTCCCTTATACACCTTGTCTGTCTGCCCCCTCCCAATATACTGACGTAAACTTTGCTTTCAGTATCTCTTGCGGAATGCAAAATGGTGGATGCTGCGCTTCAACAGATATCTTTTTATCATAATGAAACGATTCTGTTCATTGAATTCTCATTAATGTATTGTCTTAAAAGTTAAATGACTAGAATGTCCAAGAGCAACGAGATCAATCCTTTTAAATTAAAAGTAAAAGAGAAAGTGAAGAATTACAACTTCTAATCAAATCTTTGCTTATATTTCAGAATAAAATATTCTCGAAACTGGGAATGGTTTGATCTGACCTGCTTTAAAGTCGAACTGATTCAGTGCATGAAACTTTTCGTGTCGTATTCTTATCTCACCTATTGTATGCAATATGTGTGAAGATATCCATTATGAACCTATGTTTTTTAAAGAGCTACACAAACAAGAGGACCTTTGACCGACCATGATACACACAGAGCAGGGGCAGCTGTAGTGCGAACTATTGATGGACAAAGTATGAAGGAGAGCTGCCACATATTTATTTGTTATGGTCTACAGTTAAAGGTTGCTTTTTATTTCCGTTAACGGAAATCCACATGTGTC